CTCAGTGGTTGAGCTTGGCTGGTGCGGTGCTGCTCACCGCTTCCCAGTTTTAGGCTCAAGGGGCTTCCCAGCCCCTTGACTGGCAGCCGGGAGCCTTCGCAGCCACCGAGGCTGAGGACGCGCGGCTAGTCCGTGTCTCTCCGCCCGGATCCCCGTCTGGGGTTTATTCCCATCCTTCTCCGTCTCATCGGAGGAGCTCCCCGCCGGGGGCTTCTGAGCTAGGGCGTTGCTTCCCACGCCGCCCAGACGGGTTGCAAGGTTTTTCCAACGCTGCATCCTCCAGGGCGGGCTCCCTGTCCCCGCGCCCCGCCCCCTCCTCCCCGGGGCCGCAGGGGGAAAGGCGCCAGCAGGGGTCAGCAGTGCCCCGCATCTGGCTGCAGCCGCTGCCACATGCGCGCTGTCTCCGGCCGCCAGGGCCGCTTCGCGGTGTTGAGGCCTTGGCGCCGCTCTGAGCATCGCGGACTCCGGCGGCCGGGCCGGTCCCTGAACGGGGCGGGGGCGGGGAAAGCCAGCGACGCGTGATGCGGCCAACGGCGAGGCCACGTCACCATCTGGAGCTCTGCCCCGAGCTTTGATGTGCGTTGGCACACGCAGCGTGTTGCGCAGGTCTAGGCGTCGGGCGACGTGTGGCTCGGATTTGCTTTGCGGAGATGTTCGCAGAGACCTGGCGTTTCTGGGTGCGCTGTCCCCAGGCTCCCCGTGGACGGGCCAAGCGCGCAGCCGCGTGCGCAGCGTCCCACGCAGCCTCCCACGCCCCTGGCGGCGGGTGGGGAACGAGAGTCCGCCAGGGCAGCGCCAGCGGCCGAAGCCACGCACCCGGCCCTGCTCTCGTTTCTGGCCTGAGCCTCATCCAGCGCCCCGCGCGCCCCAGCCCCAGCCCTCCGGGCTGCGCTGCTAGTTCCCACAGCACCCCGCCTCCCAGGGGAGCCAGCGGGTGCCATTCAAGACTTCCGCCCTCTCCTGGCTCCTCAGTCCCCGCCCCGCCCCCCCAGGCGGTGGGGTGGCCAGAGGACTAGTGAGGCCCTGAGGGACCGACGTGCCTCTGAAGCAGCAGAAGAGGGCCCTAGTCTGCAGCCGAGGCTCCCTGGAACCCCGCGTGGCGCGGTGACCCGGTCGCCTTCCCACCTGCCTTCGGAGAGAACTCGGGCAAAGCCGGGCATGGCCGCCTTCCAGCAGCAGGGGGAGGGCAGCTGGCTAGGCGGCAGGTGCGAGCTCGGCGGTCCCACGGCTGCTTGGCACATCCTCCGCCTCGGCGGGCCAGCAGTCACCCACACACCTCAGACCTGCGGGGCGGGCACAAGGGGACACTGGGAGCAGCGTCCAGAGTCCCTTGTCCTGGAAGCCCCGACGTGGGGCCCTGGCCAGCCTCACTGGCCAGCAGCTCGGGAGCCGCCCCTGGCCCCTCCTCCGGTCCTGCTGCCCAGCCGGTGGCTGCAGCCAGCTCCCCTCCGGTCCTGGCCGGCTGGCTGGCTAACTCAGGCCTCTGCCGGGTGGAACTCGGAATCCTGGCTCCCAGCGGCTGTCTGCAGGCTGGGGTGGACGGGGTGGACAGGGTGGACGGGCTTGGACAGATGGCTCCTCACGGATGCAAATGGTTTCTCGCCACTTCAGTGCCTCAAACCACAGACGGATTAGAGGGAAGGGCTCTCGTGTGTGCTGGGCCCTGGTCCAGAGCTTCACCTGCATCTCCTCATCAAGCCCCGCCCCCACCAGCCAGGCATGGGGCATGGGGCGGCTTCTGTTTAATGGGAAGAGGCCAGCGTTCTGGTCACACGCTTAGGATGCAGTGAGACTGGGCTGCGGCGGCGACTCCGAAGCCTGTTCTGCGTCCCCGGGTGCACGGCCTGGGCCCCAGACCCTCATGGCCCCTCTTCTGGCCCCGCCCACCTTCACCTATAAAATGGAGGTGAAAATGACCCCCGTTTCAGAGGGGCACTGCCAGGATTCCACAGGTTGACATACGTACAGGCAGCGCTTAGAACAGCAGTGGGCACGGGCAGTGCTGCTTGAGCGTGGACTGTCACCGCCTCCGGCATCGCCACAGCCAAGCCAGGCTTCATGGGGGGGGGGACGTTTGTCCCCGCCAACCCCACCCCTCCCCTCTTGGCCCCTTAGAGAAACAGCTCTCTTCAAAAGCCATCTCTGGAAAAACACTGTGATGGGTTTCAGCTCCTCTCCCTTCCTGGTGACCGACAGAGAGGGAGGGACACATCTTCATGACGAGGCAGGGACTCGCTCGCTCTCGTGGAGCTCTCATTACAGCACCTACAGACTCTTCTCCCAGGTCCTCGTAAGCTCGGGCAGTCGACGCAGAGGGCCCTTCTTACTGGGGGCCCTGAGACCAGGCCTGCAGCCTGAGGGGCCACATAGGGGACAACGCCAACCCGGCATGAAGCCCCCTGCTGGTTAATGAATGGAGCTGCAAAGGACAAGGCGACCAGTGGACGCGGAGGTCCATCACTCAGACACGGGTTTTCGAGCACGGAGCCCATGCCCAGACTGCCGGGGGCTGCGTGGGGAGGAGGGACAGGGACAGGAGCAGTGCCTTGCGCGATAACCTCACTTTGCTCATAGTTGCGGGGAACCGTATAAACCCCTTTCTCCTCCATTATCTCACCGAACTTTCCCCGGAGCCTTGCTGGTGGTTAGTGTTGTCCCCTGGGCATCAACACCCCCTTTTACTGATGAGCAAACTGAGGTGACGCGCTCCAGCAAGCAGCCGCCCTGCACCATGGCTCTGGTGTTTTTCCGCTGTGCGGGGGGCGGGGGGGGGGCCGGCGCTCCCTGGACTCTGCCTCAGAGGCGTTAATAACGTTTATTAAACGCCCAAGAAAATAGAGCAATGTGCTGTCTTCACATCCCGTCTTCACGGTCCCTCCCGGGCCTCATGGAAGGAGGTCTGATGGCAGGGCCCCCAAGGAAGCCAGCTGGGCCTGAAAATGTCACTGACTCCACTTCCTGGGGCTCCCGAAGGCCACCTCGAGCCCCATCTGAACAGCTATGGGGCAACAACAGGTTCCAGGCTGACGTATTAAAACCCACTTGTCACTTCGACTTCAGTCCTCTGGCTGACAGCCTCTTGTCCCCACTGGAGACTGGCTCTAAGCTGTGGGTGGAGGAGGGGGCCAGGGAAGCTGTTGAGTGTTGGGGTGTCTCAGGGCCACCTTCTGGGTGAGCGGGTGGGGGCAGGGACACAGTGCGTGACCCGGTCCCCTGCATGAGCCCAAATGTCACTGTTTCCATCCCTCCCCAACCACGTCACTCCCCAGCAGCCCCCCCCGCCCCCCCCCTCCCGCAGCCAGGCCCTGGCCTTTACCTCTTATTGATTTTCACATTTAAGGAAAATCCATTTGCTTGATTCAGAGCAACTGAGTCATCGCTATGTTGGGAGGAAAACCACTCAGACCGGGCACTCGGCGGAGGCCCCTTGTCACTGTTTCCATCCCTCCCCAACCACGTCACTCCCCAGCAGCCCCCCCCCGCCCCCCCCTCCCGCAGCCAGGCCCTCGCCTTTACCTCTTATTGATTTTCACATTTAAGGAAAATCCATTTGCTTGATTCAGAGCAACTGAGTCATCGCTATGTTGGGAGGAAAACCACTCAGACCGGGCACTCGGCGGAGGCCCCTTGGGGGTCGGGCGGGGTCCAAGGCTCCCCACCAGCACCTCCCGGCTCCTCTCTGCGGCTCCCGCCCACCAGCCCTCTTTCCTTCAGAGCCTCGCACCCCACCCGCGCCGCCGCATTCCTTCCCTGCCCCCCCACCTGTTCTCACGCTACCGTGTTTGGCTCCTGGTACTTTTTACTGTTGGAGGTTTGTGGTGGGGACACTGGAGCAGGGTCAAGGGGACCTGCATGACCAGCCGGCCCTTCATAAAAGGGACAGAAACACAGATTGTGGGATGGGTGACCTTTAACCCTTACGGGGTACAGCTTTGGCCTTCTTCCTGTTCTGGGGAGCACCCAAGGCAGGGC